TGAAACATTAATAAATACAAACAAGCTGAAAGAAAGAAAAACCACATGGTCATCTCATTAGATACAGAAAAGACTTTGACAATAACCAATGCCTCTTCACGGTAAAAGTAGTGGAGAGTATAGAGGTTCAAGGAATATAACTAAACAAAACAAATGCAGTTTACAGCATGCCTACAGCCCACATATAATTAAATAGAGAGGAAGTTGAAAGCAATTCCACTAAAATTCAGAACAAGACAAGGTTGTCTACTATCTAAAAACCCATTCAGTAGAATACTTGAAATCTTAGCTAGAGTAATAAATCAATCCTCCTGGTCTCCTTAGGTGGACACAAAATTAACTCACAAAAACCAGTAGCTAGTTACAAATTATTATTGGTTAATGTAAAACAAAGCACTACTGTTGGTCTCAAATGTTTCACGCTGATACAGGATTTTATGTGATGTAAATTTAAAGGTTTTTGTTGTAGCATATGCATGTTTCTGTTCTTGTTTAAAATATTGTAGCCATACATCATACACCACTGAAGAAAATCACAAAAGAAGACTTTGGTAAGAGTTTTTATGTTGTCTAAAAAGAGAGAGAAATTTCAATATGTTGTCTAAAAAGCAAGAGAGATTTTGGTATGTCGTCTGGAAAGCAAGGGCAAAAGCAGAAAACTAAATAAATAAAGAGAAAAAAACGGATTAAAGATATATAAACACTTATAAAAGGTCAAAAGGGGATGTGAACTATGTTTGCTGTGGTTTCTCATATATGCCAATACTGAATATGCTTGTTTTGTTGAAAAGGTCATCTATGTAAGTTTTCTTGCAAGCATGGAGCTGAGACAAAAATGGTTTGTCTATTTTTGCTGTCTCTGTCACCCATCACTGCTGTGGCCACATTTATGGGCCTGACTTCAAAAATTTGTCTCTGAGCTCTGGTTACTGAATTTGGGTTAGTAAAAATTCAGATGACTTTTCAGTATAGATAATGTTAAAACGGTTATATGCTTTTTTGCTATTAAAAAGCTGGCTCTAGAATTGTATTATGGATCTTCCTTTGTTAGACCCATGTTTTGTTTACTTAAAATCTATGCATGGGTACTTTTAAAGAAACCATAAGGCATAATTCCATTTTAAATTTTGGATTGCTGTTTTACTAGAGTTTAAAAAATGGATGCCAAATGTTCTTACTGCCATCTTTTTTTTTTGGTTTTTAATTTTTTTCTTTTTTTTCCTTTTTTTTTATTAAATTATAAAAGTTTCCATTTCAGCCCCTCCTCCCAACACCCTCCCACTCCCCCCACTCCCTCTCCTCCTCCCTCTCCATCCCCTAGAGCAGTCAGGGTTTCCTGCCCTGTGGGAAGTTCAAGTTCTTCCCCCCTCCCTCCAATGCTAGGTGATAGTCACCAGAAGTACCAGCTACAGTGAAATGGAGCAGGCTAAGATCTAAAAGACAGGCTACGTGTATGCTGCCGAGGATGGGACCAAAGAAGTATTTTATTTTTAATATTCTTAATATTGCAAAAATGCATTTAAAGATTTTAAGTTTTTAAATAAATTTATAAAGCTGTGTGACATCTGTGCAATAAAATATTTTATATTATGTTTCATATTGTTAGAGTTTAAGCTATTTGGATAAACTGAGTCATAATTTTTTGTATTGATACTAAGAGGTTTGGACCTCCTCTTCTGGGGAAAGAATGTTATTTCTGTGTCAATCACTCTGGGATAATTACAGATTCGATGGCCTTGTTAATGATAGAGAACAAAACACAGGAAAACTGGATGAAAATTTGTTCAACTGATCTCCTTGGTAACCACCTTACTTCCAGCTTGAACAGGTTCCTAATGATATTGCTTTTTCTTATCAACAGATTTGAGTCCCTGGACAAACAGGATCCATGATCGAGTCCTGTCATCGGTGCTTGTGAAGGGGGAAAAATTAAAGAGCCCAGGGCAGCTTTCTCAGGTCAACTTGGTAGATAAACAGAAAGGTAGACCTGAGTCTCAGTTTGCCCTAGGGCAATGCTAACCCTTAGACTGCCTCCTGTTCCCATTTCACCTTGGGACCTGTTCCTTGCCTTTGCAGGAGACAGCATTAACAGCTAGCTAGATAGAAAATTGTTCTGTGTTTACCCTCGGAATGACTAATTCAGTTTTTAAATTAGCTTTAATTCAAAATCATTACAGAGTGTGGAGTTCTAGTCTTGTGAAAGCTGCTAACTTATTATAGACTGTTAGGAAATACAAGTTAGCCAGTCATCTTTAAAGTACTGATATGATTAGTTACAGGAATAAGCCTTATTTAGTTCCCTGTATATGTTTTCAAAGTCAAACTTAAAGCAAGTAATAAAGAACAAAGTTTGTCTAATCAGACATACTTAGGCAACCCTCATACTTCAGAGATCTGCAAAATATGGCATTTAAAATAATGATTTAAAAGCTTATTATATTAATCAGAGACTCTGAGATCCTAACAGTAACCCAAAGTCTCCAAAGAAGATTATGAGACACTGTAAGGTCCCTACCTGGATTACGACGATGCTGACCATAGGCGAGATGACCCCCAGTGCAACACTGGCTGCCAGGACCCGGTCCAGACTGTGGACAAACAGCAGGACCTTGGAGAATTGATTGTACCACTTTTGCCTAGACAAAATAAGGTCAGTCTTTCCCATGTCCTACTTCCATGGAAAAAAAAAGTTCACCTTATGGTCCTGGCTTAGACAGTAAGACTGCTGTTCTGGATATTTCTGCCTCCAGTGCTATGGAGACCAGGGAATGACTGTGTATGGACTCTGGTCTCTGCTATTTTTAGTAGATTTGGAAGCTATTTGGTCTGTATTCAGATATACTTTATTTACCCTTCTGAGATCTCTGATAGTATTAATGTCTAGAGCAGTTATAATGTCAGTTTAATAGCAAAAGGTATCCAGATTCTTCCACAGAAGGTCCTGGTCAAGCGTTATGCAGACATTAAGAGATCACAGATATCAGCCCAGACTACTATACCCAGCAAAACTTCCAATCACCATAGAAGGACAAAACAAGATATTCCATGACAGAACCAGATTTAACCAACACCTAGCCACAAGCCCAGCCCTACATAAAGTTTTAGAAGGAAAACTCCAACCCAAGGAAGTTGGCTACATCAACAAAAACACAGACAATTGATGATCTCACAGCAGCAAATCGAACACACCAACAGTGAAAACTAAATTAACAGAAGATGGCAAACACTGATCATTAATATCTCTTAATATAAATGGACTCAACTCACTTATAAAAAGACACAGGTTAACAGATTGAATACGAAAGCAGAATCCATCCTTCAGGTGCATATAAGAAACACACCTCAACCTGAAAGGCAGACATTGCCTCAGAGTAAAGGGCTGGGAAAAAATTTTCCAATCAAATGGACCTAAGAAACAAGCTGGTGTAGCTATCCTAATATCTAACAAAATAGACTTTAAACTAAATTCAATTAAAAGAGACAAAGGAGAACATTTCATATTAGTCACAGGAAAACTCCATTGAGAGGAAATCTCAATACAGAACATCTATGCCCCAAATACAAGGGCACCCTCATACGCAAAAGAAACACTTCTGAAGCTTAAATCATACATTAAACCCCACACACTTGTTGGTGTGGGAGACTTCAACACTCCACTCTCACCACTGGACAGGAAAGTCAGACAAAAAATGAACAGAGAAATAAGGAAACTAACAGATGCCCAGAGTCATAGGATTAAAAAAAAAATCTACTGCTCAAAAAGAAAAATAAAAGTAACCACAAAATGACCCTTGAAGATATTCTGCTCCACTCAGAGATCAGAACCTTCCTTATTCAGCCATCATCAGAGAAGCTTCCCCCCTGCAGAGATGGAAACAAGTTTAGAGAGACACAACCAGACATTTCACAGAGAGAAACTTTGGAACACAGAGCTCTAAATGGAATGTCTCTGTCATCAGAGCTCAGAGAACCCAGAGGAAGAGGAGACAGAAAGATGGTAAGAGTCGGAGGGGATACAGGACACCAAGAGAACAAGGCTCTCAACAACTGAGCAAAGCTCATATGAACTCAGACTGAGGCAGCAGGCACAGGGCTGCTCGGGTCTGCACCAGGTCCTCTGTGCACATCTTATAGCTTTCAGTTTAGTGTTTCCATGGATTCCTGAGTGTGCGAGTGAGTGGGACTCTGGTTCTGGTGCCTTCTCTTGGGCTCTTCCTTCTGTTGATTTTCACTGTACAGCTTCGATGTGATGGTTTTTGTCTTATTTTGTATTTAATTTCATCATGTTTGGTTGTTATCGCTTAGAAACCTGTTCTTTTTTAATAAGAGAGAAGGGAGTATATCCTGTGGGGAGGGAGGGTGGAGAGGGACTGGGAGGAGTAGAGGGAGGGGAAATTGTAATCAGTACATTTTTATGAAAGAAAAATCTATTTTATTTAAAAGAGAAAGAATTGATGGATTTGATGCAACTGGAAAACAGTAGACGAATAATTTGGTCATTGCACTTTCTAAAGTGGAGGGACTTTCTTGCGCTCTTTTGGGGACTTTATATGGGCATTCTGCATTGACTTTAAAGACATCCCGAACTTCCTGACCTGGGAATATCTGTGCTCCCTTCCTCTCTATTAACTAATCTGTTGTTTATTGCTGGAAGCAGCAGGAGGAACCTGGTTGTGCACTTAGCCCATTGTGTTCTCTGTGAACATCCTTTCTTCTCCTCTGTCAGCCAATTAATCACTCTTTTAAAAAGGTTCTCCTTCATAATAAAGTAAGACAGGAAATGAATTTGCTCAGGTTTAGAGGCTTTTAAGTGCCTCTCTAAATTCCTCCTAAGCAGGATGCACATTTCCTTCAAGAGTTCCCTCCTGGGACAGTAGCCAGGGTGAAAAGGATGATTCAGGCAAACTGGAATAGACGCAGTAAACATGGACCTAGTTCTCTGTCCTGGAGGGTGAGCCTGCCCTCTAGTGTCTGGGAAAGGAAGCACAGGTCCATCTCACCTATAGAGAAGGGCATAAAAGCTTCATTTTTCTTCAGAGCCCCACTGGCATCCAGGAAGTGGTCAGGATTGAAGGCATCTGGTTGTTCAAAGTACCGTGGGTCATGGAGAGCTGTACTCAGGATGGGGTACACTTCAGTGTTCTAGGAGACATTGTGAGAGGCAATGATATTAGCATACCCTGACTCCCATATGCAGGCAGTCAGTCCTTAGGAAAACACAGAATGCTGGGAAACCACAAACAGACCAAGGGTGGTGATTGGGAGAGTGGAGGATGACCATGGCATAGAGATGTGGAATCGCAGCTGGTCTCACCTTGGGGAGCAGGTACCCTCGGAATGAAGTGTCTTTGGTGACTTTGTGTGGCATTCCAATAGGGGCATTATCTGCAACTCTCTGAATCTCGTGGATCACTGCATCTGTGTAAGGCATTTTGGTGCGGTCATCAAGGGTTGGTGGGCGATGTGAGCCTATCACCTGATCGATCTCCTTTTGGACTTTCTCTGCACAGAAAAAGGGAAACAACAGATAATGACCACCCCTTTCATGGAGGCAATGCACAGTGACCCTGTTTTCTGTGAGTCAACAGCCTAGGAACAGTGCAGAGCCAGGATAATTTATCGGAAGGACACAGTGCACTCTTGGTCACATACACCTGTGCTTCTCTCTAGCCATGCTTAGAGCTATGTTAGAGGTTCTCTCCAAAGCTCAAACCTTGCTCCTAATACAGAGAACAGGAAAAACCACAACAAAGGGCTATTTTCATCTATCAGTCTGAATGAGGGCTTGAGGGGGAGATGGTAAGAATTCTTCCCATTTGAAATGTGATTGTTATACATTGTTTTCCTGCATAACACACACACACACACACACACACACACACACACACACCGAGAGAGAGAGAGAAACAGAGAGAGACAGAGACAGAGACAGAGAAAGAGAGATATTCTTTACATGTAATTATCATTTAAAAATCTAGGGGACTGTAGAGATGGGTTAGTGGATAAAAGCACTGGCTACTCTTGAATAGCACCCGGGTTCAATTCCCAGCACCCTCATGGTCCAGGTCCAGGAATCCAACACCCTTACACAGACATATTTGCCAACAAACAGCAATGAACATTAGTAAAAAAAATAATAATATATGCTAAGATTCTGAGGCTATATCCTCAGGAATAAAAGGAGGTAAGTTAATCTATATACAACAAAATACAGAATATGAACACATTAATGAATATGATGGCCGATGAAAGGGCTCAGTCAGCAAATGCATTGATTTCCATCCTGACAGCCTGGCTTTGACATCAGAACCCATGTAAATGTGCAGGAGAGACCCAACTGCACAAAGTTGTCCTCCAACCTCCACACATGAGCCACGCAGACAAACTCACAACAACATCACATCGATTTCAACTTCTTAGACTGTGAGTGTGTAAGTCAGCCAAGCAATGGATGAGTCGGTTACTAAAGGAAAGATTGCTGGGTGAGTGAAATGAGCAAAGCAAACCTGGATTCCGTATTCCACTTCTCACTCACTGTAGTAACCAATTAACAAGTCAGTAAATGGGGCATACACAAATAAATCAATGAACATAACTAACCAGTAATGAAGTAATGTTAGGTTTAGCAAAGGAATATGTGAATGAATAAATGATCAAATATAGGAATAAACAGGTTGTAGGGTTAGTTTATACAGGCCCATATTTCTACATTGTATGGTGGCCAGTAGCGAGTGATCTGGTAAGGCACAATTTGCACCTGCCTCATAGAAGGTGGGTGCCTGGCCTTTGGTAGTGAGACATCGCAAGCAAAGGGTCAGGACACACTAATGTCACTCTGCTCCTTCTTTGTAATTTGGGAGGTTGCATGGGGAAGAGGTGTTAATTCAGTCTGTGTGACGGAGCAGGCATAGAGAGCACTCATAGATAGAAAGATGTGACAAAATCGCCATAGAAGTTGTGTACATGACCACAATCACTACCCTCCCGGCTACCTAGGAAACAGAATTCTCATGAATTTCCCTCTCAGGTTACGTTTTGGTGTATAAGCTGTTTGGAGAATAAATACAGGTGATTTTCAGGATATGAATGCAGGATTTCGTGAGGGATCCCTGAAAATTCCCTCCCAATAAAGTCATGTGAGTTGTGTCTCAATTATTCCCACACCTCTACTCTGATCCAAGAAATAATTTATGATGGGACTGGATCCCTGACGCAGGTACGTGTATTGAACAATAAAAAAATCACAGATAAATGAATATATTATTAAGTGGCTACATGGAGGAAAGAATTGACACATGAAAAGTGGTTTCAAAGGCCAGTGAAAAGATTAAGAAATAAGAAGATTTGTGTATGAATGAACCAATGAATCAATGTCAGATAGCCCATTCAACCAGCCCTGATCAAAGAATAAAACTCACAAACTTATTCATCTAAATACGTGACTGAAATATTTGCCCTTAGGTGAAGCAGAGATGAAAGAATCAAGGATTAATAACCTATGACTATAGAGAAGATGGTCAGAGGATTACACGAGTAGGTGAATAGGTGTGTAGATAGAAAAAGAATGTATGGATGGGTAGATAATGGATGAGTAAATGAATAAAATGAGTAAATGGATGAAGAGTAGGATTACAGAAAGATGAGTCAATGGATGAATTAAAGACAGTAGGAAAGAAGGAGGGAAGGGTAGATGGATGGATGGAAGGTCAACCTTCAAGTTATAGCAGACAACAATGGAAATGGACCAGCTGAGTGTTCATTCACACACCACCCACAGCACTGCCTTAGGTTAGATGTAGTCCAAAGCCTTCAGAGCTCCAGATGTAAGAGGCCCATGTCTCTCTCATCCACACAAAGCTTTGCAGTCAAAAGGGGGAGCTAGAAGTTTCCCAGCTGGACACCTGTGGCTCACCTGCAACATGGGGGTATTTGAGCATGAGCAGGAAGCCAAAGCGGAGCGTGATGCTGCTGCTCTCGGTACCAGCAAAGAAGAGAGACAGCACTGAGATCATGAGGTTCTGGTGATGGAACTCCGTGTGTTGGTTGGACTTCTCCTGGTTCCACATGGGAGAGAAAAGGGAGGGTCAGGGGTGCCTGGAGCCTTGCAGGGAGATACACACACATACTAGGAACTGTCCTTCTGTCTCACTATCTGGACCACATGGCATTTCTCAGTCCTCAACAATGTCACTTGGTCTCTGCTCTGCCTTCTCTCTCTACTGCACTCTCTGGTAGTTTAGCATGGTTTGTCTACCAGACTCTTTCTTCCTCTGTGGTCTTTCCTGCTTTTTGTCCCTTGCCCTGTGTTTCCTTCCCACCCTTCTTTCTCCCGATCACATTTTCTCCTGCCTTTTATTTTCATCGTTTTCCAGACGCTTCTACATCTCCTCCACTCCATTTCCTGTCTCTCCTCCCCATCCTCTGTCCCCCTTTTCCTCCGCTCACATCCTCAGCCTTCACTCTCAGCCATCCCCTCTCATTCACTCAGGACTTACCTTCTCCATGCGTATAAGGAAGGTATCGATGAAGTCTCTTGGATTGTTGGGGTCCAAGGTTGCCCGGTGTTTCTCCACGCTGTGGTCAATGTATTCAAGGATTTCCTGCAGGATTTTGTGGATTTGTCTGTGGGTTCCAGGAAAGTACTTCAGGAAACCTGAATAGAGCTCAAACATCTGCAAGAAAGAAGGGCCTAGTAGATCACATGGAATTATCAGGTCTCAGGAAGAGGGCAGTGCTCCTAGGTCCACAGACATCATGAAGGAAAACACACACACACACACACACACACACACACACACACACACATACACACACATACACACACACACACATCACACATGCACACCATACATACATATGCATTTGAACTGTATCTCTAAATCAGTCTCTAACCTTTATTTTTTAATTGATTTTATTGAGCTCTACCTTTTTCTTTACTCCCTCCCTTTCCCTACCCACCCCTTCAACCCTCTCCCATGGTCCCCATGCTCCCAATTTACTCAGGAGATCTTGTCTTTTTCTACTTCCCATGTAGATTAGATCCATGTATGTCTCTCTTAGGGTCCTCAATGTTGTCTGCTTTCTCTGGGATTGTGAACTGTAGGCTGGTTTTCTTTGTGTTATATTTAAAAGTCACTTATGAGTGAGTACATATGGTATTTGCCTTTCTGGGTCTAGGTTACCTTACTCAATAGGTTTTCTAGATCTATCCATTTGCTGGCAAATTGCAAGATGTCATTATTTTTTTCTGCTGTGTACTACTCCTTTGTATAAATGTACCAGTTAAGGAAATGCTTACACCCTTAGCCATCTAACCTTCATTTTACATTCTCTGTCTCTTCCTATTTCTCTCCTCTGCTTTCTCTTCCAATTCCCCTTGCTGTTTTGTCTCAAATTGTTTCAATTTGTGGGTCATTGTATTTTGAACTGATTTATGCCGGACTGGCTTTAAATTCAACATGTAGCCAAAGATTGTCCCAAATTTCTGATACCCTAGCCTCTACCACCAAACTGCTGGAATTTCATGTGTTGTACACCACCACATCCTGGGGATGAACCCAGAGGCTCGGGCATGAAATACTGTGTCCTCTGTCCTCTGCATCGCCCATGTCATCATTTTCTCATGTCTGGATGGTCCTGTATTTCTGCATTCAGATCTCTTCACATTGCTTAACATTCCTTTCTCCCACTGCTCCTTCTTCCTTCAGTTCCTCTAGGCCACAGGCCCCTTGCTTCTTCATGTTGTCTCTGCCATTCTTCTAGCTCTAAGATACGCCTTTCTTCACCCACAGAGCAGCTTCTTCTTTCCTCTGCCTTGGATGCTCCTCCCTTCCCACCCACTGACCTGGCCTGAGAATGAGCTGGTGAGTGACATGCTCTGATAGATCAGGTCCAGCAGGCGCAGGAACTGGTGGTCTTTGTTGTCAAAGCGCTCTCCAAAGACAATGGAGCAGATGATGTTGGCTGTGATGCATTGGAAGAGGAAGGTGGGATCCAGGGGAGCTCCTGGAGGAGGAGGACACAGGGGTATAGAATCAGGGAACATTTGGCTTCAGCCCCATGTCTGTAAAGGTGTTCCCACCACTCACTGCTCAATGTACATCAACAGCTGCTACCACATTTGCACATATGATGTGCATAAGAGTCTAGACCCTTCGCTCAGAGACGCACACATACTTTTATTTAACTCCCCTCAGTACTGTACAGAATATGGAGTGCTATTCATATACACAGAAAGGGAGGCACCTTCATCAACAGAACTCAGCTAACCATGACCAGAGCTAGGATGCTGGGACAGAGAAGTGGAGTGTGTGTAGTCAGTCTCCACCTGTCCTCCTCCCAGGACAGCATCCTGACTCTGAATTGATAATTAACTCCCCCTGGAGGGAATGGTGCAGAGAAGAGTTCAGGGATGTCTGTGTGAATTACAAGCCCCGCACACTCCATGACTATCTGCCAGTCTTTCTCCAACCCTTCTTTAACTTCTTCCATCCCTTCTCTCATTTCCTCCATCCCTTCTCTGATTTCCTCCATCCCTTCTCTGACTTTCTCCATCCCTTCTATGATTTCCTCCATCCCTTCTCTGACTTCCTTCACCCTTCCTCTCACTTCCGAGCTCTGTGGTGTTCTAGAAGCCATCAGCTTGCTGCCTTTGCGTGCCAGGTTCAGTCATGAACCCTGGTGGTTGGAGGACTGTTGTCATTCTAACAGTATTGGGCCACTGTTGTCCCTCACCCAGGGCTGGCTTGTCTGTGGTCACTGATCCTGTGTGGATCCTTCTCTGGGGTGCAAGGGCTTCACTCTCAGCCTTGGAATTCACTTCTCTTCCTCTGGATCCCTCCATCTCTCACTTCTTTCTCCCATCATTCTTCTCACATTTGCACCTTTCTTCCCTCCCCTCTCTGCACTGACCTCTCAGATCTCCAGAAAAAGGTCAATAAGAGATGACAAATACCCAGTGTAAAGAAATGGAAGTGCAAACAGTGTTGATGTCATCAATGTGCCCTTGTTATAAAGAAGATTAAAGTGTCCTGAGTCCTCTGAGTTTGACTTAAGTCAAACTCCCATGAGCCTCTGTGTTCACTCTGCTCACCAGCATACTCACAAGAAAGAAAACACAGTTCCCTGCTTAGACCACATCTGCAGGTCCTCCTGCTCCCTTCCCTTTCATTGACCTAGAGTCCGCATTTGTCTTTGATAAGACCATGGGTGGAGGGGGAGCCAAAGTGGCCTTGAACTCTATGTGCAGTAGAAGAGGACCTTGGAAATCTCATCCTCCTGCCTCCACCTCGAAGGTGCTGGGATTACAAACATGCAGGACCATGCCTGCTGTATATGGTGCTGTAAGCTCTCCACAACTCAGCCACAGCCACATCAAAGGCGGGACCTCACAATGTAGGCAGGGCTGGCCTTGAGCTCATGGTCATCTTCCCTCACCTTCTGAATTCTGAGAGGATGCGTGTCCAACAGTCCTACCCCAATTAACAAAGAAAATTAACTCACAGATTGATTTTCTGGAGAGAAGTGACCATCATGGGCAGTACATATTTCTGAGTAATTTTTGAAACAAAATACCTCACGTTTCTTTCCAGTCCGTGTGATTCTCTTTTCACTCCTGTCCGTATCTGTTCATCCCCAAACTCAGTGTGTCTTTTGTGTTTCTTTCCCCGTGTGTGTGTGTGTGTGTGTGTGTGTGTGTGTGTTTGTCTGTCTGTTTCTCTACTCTTGTATGTCTCTTTCTCTTTCTTTGGTTCTACACTCAGGTGTCTGTGTCACCATCTTTCTTTCTGCCCATTCTCTTGGACTCACCCTGGGATTTCCGCAGCTCCTCCACCAGACGTCGGGCTTCCTCCTGAATCTGCTCCTCCACACTCTGCTTGCCCATTCCAAAGTTCTTCATGGTGGCTAGAGAGAACCGCCGAAGGGTCTTCCAGCGTTCGCCACTGGCAAAGACCACACCTAAGAATGTAGGGAAAGCATGGGTGGTTACAATGGAAGTTCAAAGACCCTGAGTCTTCCCCACAGCTCGGGCTCCACCATCACACGCGTCTTCCCAGACCACATCCTCCACTCCATTCTGTCCCATATCTCACCATATGTCTGTACAATTGGCTCAAACAAAGCTATTGTCCCCCGGTCAGAGAAAGCCTCAGCTTGGTCCACCAGAGCTTCCCTTATGGCCTCTGTCCCACACAACATGACCACGGGCCTCGGTCCCAGGTGCACTGTGAACACGTCTCCATATTTTTCTCGAAGCTGCCAAGCATAAGGGTACAAGGGTCGTGGTTAGTCGGTGCAAACGTTGTTACACTGTGAAAACACCTAGACATAGACTGGTAAGTAGGTACCCCTCCACTGGCCACCCTTTCTCTCCTGAGGACCTAAGAGGTGCTCAGACAGGCAGGGTCTGCACTGATTCGTTGGATTTCCTAATCAGTACACCAGTACTGTAGAGTAGGGGGACAGGGCAACACTTGTTTATAACTCTGACACAAGAGAAGTAGAGACCAGAGAATCAGTAGTCATCCTTGGCTACACATTCAGTTTGATGCCAGTCTCACCTACATATGACCCTATCTCAAAAATAATAGATACAGATATGGATGCAGATGTGCATTAGTTCCATGCCCATACCCTTCAGTCTGGCCAGCTGAACCATGCCTCCTGTGGTCCAGCTTCCGCCTGTCCAATGCCTTCTGACAACGTTCATAGAGAACGGCCCTGACCCACCCTCTGGGTTACATGGGAAGAGAAAGTGATAGTCACCTAGTAGTGGTCCTGAATGTGAGTCTGACTGCAGTATGAACAGTTGGGAAATTGCCTGGCAATGCAACCATCAGGGCATCTACAGGGAATTGGTCCCAGGAACATGACAACCCTCCAGTGCTGAGAGCCCTTGAGGAGCATGGTGTGATGTTTGCAAACAATCCCCCCTCGTCCTCTTGTAATTTTTACTCTCTCTAGATTGCACTGCAGCTAATCGAAATGAAAGGCTACGAAAACGGTCAGTGACTAGTGTTGTTAAGAAAAAACTCTGCACATGATTGATGTTGATGCATTTTTGGTTTTAGATGGTGTCACAATATTGAATTTCATGCAACAATGAACTAACAAACCTCAGATCAGAACAATGGTGTAAGTGAAACTTGCCAACTCAATGCTACACAGAAGCAAGTTTTGTTTCCATCTGCTGCATCTAAATGATGTTCAAACACAGATGCAGTTGATGGTGTGTCAAGATAGTGGGAGGTAACGACTACAAGGGGCTGGGACTGGTACCAGTCTTGATGTTCAACATTAGTGGTAAGAAAATGTTCGTCTTTAAAATTCATTGAGGTGGGCTTCTTGAGAGGTGACCCAGTTCAACAACATCTTAACTCAAGGCTTAATAGGTGGGGCAGGAGAGGTGGTTCAGTGGTTAAGTTGCAGAGCCCCTGAGTTTTGTCCCACCTCCCATGTCAGATAGCTAAAAATTACCTGTAATGCCAGCTTCGTGGGATTTGATGACCTCTTTGGTTTCTTCAGATATCAGATATGTATAATGACCATTCACACACACACACACACGATGATGATCTTGATAATGATAGACAGACAGATAATAGATAAGTAGATAATAGATAGATGATAGATAATAGACAGACAGAAAGATACATAGGTACATAAATATTGATCAATAAATAGCTGGTAGATAGATGATACAGATCATTTGCAAACATTGTAATTGGGGCTCATCAGATAAGAGCACTTGCTGCACAGTTGTGATCACCAGGATTTATATCTCAGCACCAGTATAATAAGCCAGTGAGTTCATACAAGCCTAGGACTCCTGATTAAAGTGTTGGATGGTGAAGATAGAAGGATTCCTGGGGCTTGTTGACTTTTAGATCCAGGTTCAGGAAAGGACCTTCCCTCAAAGGAATGGGTAAATTAATAGAGGAGGACAGCTGGTGCCCTCCTCTGACCTCTATCCCCCATTAACAGGTGTGCTTATACAATTAGAAATATACTCACCCAGACAGACAGACAGACAGACGTGGTCATAAATAACAGTGTTTTAAAAGATTTTGTAAAGGTTACTTTAAAATGTTGTGCACTGCCCTTTGCAAGCCCCTTCCTGGTTCCCTACTTCCGCTCTTACATCCCTAAGAACAGTTTCACCACAACCCAAGTCACAACATTCACTGAAACATACCTCACTTAATACCCTGAGCCTTCCCCAGGTCCCTCACTGTACCTATGCTGCTGAAAATAAGATCAAGGTCCCTATCATGATGGCACAGCTGTGCCTGACAGGGTCCCATCAGTCCTCTGCTTCTCCGTTCCTCCCTTGTTCCTCTTTTCCACCAGCCCCATGTTGTTCCCTGACCCTGTTCCCCTTCAGGTCCTTTCTTCAGCACCTGCCTCCCTTGGTGCCACTCTCGGTGTCTCTCAGAGTCTTTGCTCACAAGGAGAGCAAGACATTCGGTCGCCACCTCTCACCACTTGCTAAAACACCATGCTGCTTTATTTTATTCATTGATCCTGTCTGTATACCGTGTCTGTCTGTCTGTCACTGCCAGGGTAATGTTCCATTAGCGTGGTAACCTTATCCACCTCTGAACTGTCACAGCTAGAATGCTCCTTGAGACATAGGGACCTAATACATTTTCAGTGATTTGATAAATAAGTCAATATGTGGGCAAAGTGAGTTGTCATTTAATAAACACGGATTGTCACACCCTTGGGAGCCATGTATCCTTGTTATCACGAGAAGAGAAAAGCAATACTCAAGAAGACGCAAAACTGAGGCACAATTCCTTGCTAAACTATACTGTCTAGTTGATATAATAATGATAGCTCATAGACAGTTTTGATGAATGAAAGTAAATATAAGGAAAAGTGACAGAGCTAGAGCCTATGTGTGGCAGTATTCCTGCTGGGCTACACCTGGTCCAGCTCCAGAGTGCTAGCACCTAGTTTTATCCATCTTTTGTTTAGCAATTAACCTTTTGTTTCTCTTGTCCTCTGTCTGAGAGTTTCCCAAGGGTACAAAGACTATGCAAAACTTAGTTAGAAGGAAACCCAGAAAATTTTGGTTTCTCCTGAATAGGGCATTTGCATTTGGCATCTTCCCTTGGAGGCCTAGTCAGGATGTTTTGAGGATATGGACATCTGTTTGTTAGGTGTAAATTGGAGAACAATAAAAGCAGCCCTGGGCAAAGGAAAAACAGTCAGTTCTGATGGTTGAATCCTGATGGATCAGTCTTGAAGATTCTCTAGAGAGACTGACCTGCTCTGCAGCTAAGAAAGGCTAAATTCATTCTTAAGGTGCCTCTGAGTCTTCATTTCATAGACCCATGTGAACCCACACACCTGTGCTGTGACATCCACAATGCCTATGAGTTTCACTTATGTAGCTGTATAGATCATAGCTCAAGCTAATGATTAAGAGAAACACTTGAGTCCCAGGAACCAGGCTGGCTCAAATTCCTTTCATGTTGATGCTAAAAGACACAGTCACAAGTTTCTGTGTGCATCATTAGCTAAAACAAGCCTTTAAAACAATTTCAGGTTAAATCATATGTTTTGATAACAGCCTTATGACAGTTCCACACCAGAAATCCTGGACAGGACTGAATCAATCAGATACTCCAGGGTATGACCAGCACCCCAGTTTTCTCGGGTCCTCCCAAGATCCTGGCATCCACAAATCAGCAGGAAGCAGTCTCCAGAATACGATATCTTCATCCCCTTTACCTGCCATGCAGGAAGCAGTCTCCAGAATACGATGTCTTTATCCCTTTTACCTGCCATGCCAAATTCCTCATTATTTTATTATAAGAAAAAGACGGGAATGTTATAAAATTGTAATTATGCTGGCCTTCCCTGTCACCTGGGTACCCTGTCCCTTTAAGAGACAAGCTCCACCCACTCCCCATCTCCCTTCCTGCTGAGGCAAGCTGATCTCTTGCCCCCTTTTTTGCTCATTCTCTCTATCTCTGTTTTTCTTTATCTGTAGAGGCAGACTCTGCCTTTTCTTCCTCCCCCTTTACTCTTTCCTGTTTTTCTCTGTCCTGCTATCTCTCTTTCACTTTGTCTCTCCCCTCCATAATTCCCTACCCTTATACCCTCCCAATAGCCATTAAATAAGTTCTTTACTCAAGTTGTCTCCTCGTGGTGCATCTGTCTGTCTCCTGTATGCCACACTGCTCCCACCCTCATTGGAACCTGCCAGCATCACCTGCCCCACGATAAATCATAACACAAACCACATGGTTAGCATCCTCTGCCTGTGACAGGTGTTCTTCTTCCCTACTACATTATGACACATAAGAAGGGCCTCCTTAGAGGCTGGAAGAGTTGATGGCTTGATCTGAGACTGTCAAACCCCACAATTATGAGCTGGATAAGCCTTTAATTTATAAAGAACTTAGCCTCCGGACTTCTGTGGCAGCTACAGAAAACAGATGAAGGCACAAGGAGACTTTCTCTTGCCTGCTTAGTTGAATCACTTCAGTTCTTACCATCCTTGGCATCAGTTAAACTGGTTCATTCCCCTGACCTGAAGATTCAACGTCTGCCTCTCCCCTGTCATACTGTGATCTCATCTACCTGACTCCACTCTTCCCCTAGCACCTGCTGCTGCTCAGGAATGGCTTCTTTTCCATAGCTGTCATCATTCTAGAAAGTCTTTGTGATTTGTTCAAGTCCTGCGTCTTATGTAAGTCTGTTTGAACTCTCAACCAATCTTAAAATTCCTATTGCTTTGCTTGTATGCAATATCACCCAAGTGAGCAGATAACTTGCCAAATTAATTTTTTTGAGTATATTCTATATCTGCAAACAGATTCTCATTTCCTGAGGGCCAAGGAAGGCAGCTCAGCTCTCCAACATTGCCACATACATTGGATCATAGAGGGTAGGAATTCCCTGCCCAGTGCACGTATCCTAACCCCTGGAAACCTTGTTTGCAGATGACATGATGACTGTCCCTACAGGAAAAGATGCAGCATGTCGTGCTATCATGACATGATGTCTCCAACCCTCACTGTGAGTCTCTGGGCAATTAAGATTGCTGAGGGAGGTGCCATTTTCTTCAGTGATGTAGCTGTTCATAAGTTGCTCACATGACAGTAAATAGCCCCAACATCTATACTCACTCAAGCAACCATAATTATCTACAAGTAGGAAGGGCCTTCAGACACAGAGACATGGACAGAAGAATAAGAAAGGAAGGAATTAGATTTTCAAAGAACAAAATTAATCCTAACATTCAGAAGGAGGATCTCTGTGAGTTTGAGGTCATCTACAGAATGAGTTCCAGAACAGCCAGGACTGTTTCACAGAGAAACACTGTCTCAAAAACAAAGCAAAGCAAAACAAAACAAAAAAAAATAAAAAAATAAGGTGTTAAGTTGACCTTCCCAACATGTGGGAAGCACGTTTTTAAAATATTTGTGGCCAGGTGTACCACACATCTGTCAATCCAGAACATGAGATGTTAACTCAGAAGGATCATTAGCCTGAGAAAAGGAGGAGACCTTTTCTTAAAAACCAAATTACAAAAAAGTATACACCATTGGTCCAGGTGGATGATATTTTAAAAACCAAGAAGTAGCAGGGAGTTGGGATTACTGTCAATATATCAGCTTTCTAAATGGGAAATGGGGCCAAAGATTGTAATTGATTATTAATAAAGAAGTGGTAATTAAACATGAAATCTCACTAGTGAAGACTGGTAAAGATGGTGCCAGGGTCTGCTCCTTGGACGGTCCTTGTGTTTATAACTGATAAGCTCTCCCTACCGATGTCAGCTTCTGACCTGCCTCTCCTCCCCTTTGTTCCAGAACATGACAGGCTAATCCCTTGTATTAGCAGAAGCAAACCTTATCTGTGGATACCTCTGACATTTTTCTTTCTCTTTTGAAACAAAGAAGCATCAAATAGGAAAATTGTAAGCCCTTGGCCCACACCTTAACACCCGGACCATTTTAGCACGTCAAGCATAGTGTTCCACAGGATTTCAACAGAGCAAGGACACACCTGTCAATCTGAGTACCATCTGTCACCAATCGGCATCTCTCTTTTCACTCAGAAACCTTCTTACCTGAACCTATGACCTGGGAAGAGTCCCCTGCTTGTCCCACTGAGTGAGCTCCAGGAGCAAGCACAAGGCTAGGCCATAGGGTACAGGCCCTCTGCGTGTCTCACCTGCATGAAGGAGTTGAGGAGGCCTCCTTTGTCCATCTGCAGAAGGTTCCCCACGAGGGGCAGGGGACGGGGTCCTGGTGGAAGTTGGCCACAGGGCTTTGTGCGACTGCTGACCAATAGCAGTAAGAAACCCATGAGGAGAGTGAGGAGGAGCAGGACACTGGACTCCATGGTCTTTGTCTGAGCACTGTCCACTTCGCTGCAAACTCCAGCAGAACCTTTTATGCCAGACTTTGCTCCCCAACCAGTTGAGCATTTTCAGCAGTTCTTGCCTCCTATTGCATCATTGTCCAGGGATGTGAGCACCCATGTCTGCTGTTTGAACAGCTGGTGATCTGCTTACTCCCCAGCTCCATCCCCCACCCTAGATGTTGGCAAGGACACAATAAAACATATACACAGGAAAAGGCATTAGGAGTAATGAATCCTGATCTCTGAGGGTAAGTATACACATGTCAGGTCAGTTCTGTCTGCTTATTTATCCGGGCATGGCCCCATGTGTGCTCACTGTATGCTATATATGTGAAAGGTCATTTCTAATATGAATGTGCAGCTGTGTGTTTCTGTGTTTGAGTCTAGACGAACTTGCTAGTCTACTCTTGCATGTCTGGGGTTTGTTTTCATGTATAATCTTCAATTGTGGAGGCCTTTCCGTGTGTTTTTAGCTTCATATGTGAATTTGTTCACATTTAAGTAAGAATAGTGTGGCATGGTCCTGTGCATGTCTCTGTATGTCTCTGCAGTCCCAGCCAGAGTCTTTGAGGGGCTGCAGATGTGATTTCTCCAGAGTCTCCATTGCATTCTCTGGCCCATGACAGCCACAGATGGGAGAGAAAGGAGAAAGAAGGAGAGCAAGAGAATCAGGAGTGCAGAGGCTTGGGAGGAGAGAGGGACTAAAACCTGGCAGAAGAGAATTTGAGGGTTCTGGGTGTCTGGACCAACTAGCTTTTATGTCAGCTTGATACAAGCCAGGGTCATCTGAGAGGAAGAAATTTCATTTGAGTAGATGTGCCCATTAAACAACACTGCGAGCAAGCCTATAAGGAATTTTCTTAATTAGCGATTGATGGGGGAGAGTCCAATCCACTGTAGGTGCTGCCATCCCTGGGCTGGTGGTCCTGGGTTCTGTAAGAAGGTGGATTGAACAAACCATGAGGAGCAAGGCAGTAAACAGCACCCTCCATGGCATCTGCATTGGCTCCTGCCTCCAGTTTCCGGCCCTGACCTCCCAGGACAATGAACTGTAAAGTGGGAATGCAGGCAAAATAAATCCTTTCCTCCTCAAGAGGCTTCCAGTCATGGTGCTTTGCCACAGAAATAGAAACCATAACTAAAAGAGTCTTTGATCTCTGTGACTAACGACAAATGCTTCCTTTGTCCTCATGGCTGTCTTCATAGGACCCTCTCCTGCTCTCTCTCTCTGACACTGTCCCTGTCCTCCCACCCCATAGACTCTGTGCTTCAAGATGCAGAGACTGTCTTGGTCTGGATTCTGCTCTAGCAGGATACTGGAAATCTGGTAATTATATGGACAGAATTTTTTGACTTGTGGTTCTGGAAGCAGTTATTTCCATGAACACAGCACTGGTGTCTGGGGAGGCCCTTGCTGCTGCTCTATGATGTGACTCGGGGTCAGCAACTGAACCTCCTAAGACCGAAGGGGAAAGCTAGAAGGACACTGAACGTTCTTAGCTGCCCACCCTACAATGGTGACTTTGATGCACTCGCAAGGTGTTATGGTTTGAATGTGGAATCCTTGTCACAGGTTCACATGGCAGCACTGTGTACCTAACTGATAACACTATTTGGGGAGTAAACAGGACACCCTAAGAGGTAAAGCTTGCAGGAAAGAAGTAGGTTATTGGAGGGAAGCTGATGGGTGACAACTCCACTGCATCTCTCTCTTTCTCTCTCTCTCTCTCTCTCTCTCTCTCTCTCTCTCTCTCTCCTTTTCCTTCTCCTTTTTCCACCTGCCATATATAAGAACAACCACAAGCTCCTACATTTAGACCAAGCCCAAGTGCCAGACCTAACCTGCCATGAAGCTAAGAGAACACAAATCCTTCATTTTGGCTCAGTTGCTTTGTAGCAGGAATTTGGCCTCGGCGACAACAAGAGCAATGAATGCAGAAAGATGGCACCAGAATTGGGCTATTAGGATGAACATGACCATGTTACTCAAAGGCTGGAATCATCATCAGGTGGGGCTCCAGGTTTGCTATGGGAGCTCGTGACTGGTCACACAGCAGTGGCAGATGAGAAATAAGAGAGAAAGAGACAAGCTGGAATCAGGCCCAGGGTGTAAGCCATCATCTAATCTATCTATAGCCATTGTAAGTAACCTACTTCCACCAGGCAGGCCTCACCTCTTAAAGACTCTGCAATTCCCCAAACAGAGCCACCTGCTGTGGACCAAATGCTCAAGCACATGTTTTGGGCAACATTCACAACCAACCTGTGACATAAAGGCAAAAGCTTTAGGGCCTTGTCAGAAGTTGAAGATCTCACTTCTTAACACTGTTATAATGACATTTAAATTTCAATATGGTTGTAGAGATGACATTCAAACTGATGTGTTCTGCTGTACTCCCCCCAACACACACACACACACACATGCACACACACATACTTACGCATACATACACACACACACATACACACACACACACACACACGAACAGATACACCACATACGCATACACATGCGCTCATGCACACACGCACGCACACATACGCATCTCATGCCATTCACACACTAAATACATTCATTCCATACCAATAAGACCCAAGTTTCATTTTGCTGACAATCCTTCATACAACCATTTACTTTGAGGACTTTGTTATTCATCATTCACCTGGGAAAATAGAAACTGGGATAAACTTGTGTAGTTCACGTATATGGATCGTGGAAGCTTGTACATATGTGTATGCCTCAGATGAGAATTTTATCTTCTCTGTTGTAACTTGTTTCTTATCCTGATATCTACAAAAGAGTTGATGACAAATGAAGAATTGGGAGATCACATTGACTCATCTACAGAGGAAGAGGGGGAGAAACTGAGAGAGAACCACGTAAACAACACTGGCATCCACAGAACCTTTCAGATTACAGAGGTATCATAGGGCAAAACTGCCTGGAGATGTGTGTAAGATGATAGAGTCTTTGCCCAGAATTCACCAACTTCGGGGTTTTATCCTCAGCATAGCACACAGTGGGTGTGATGGCACATACCTACAATTCTGTAACTCTGGAAATGGATCATTTAGAAATACATAATTATCATACTTTCCATTATAATGACTTTCCCAAGTATTTTCAACAAAATAAATTTTAATTATCAAGGACCCAAAACCATTATCATGATTCAGTGACCAAGAATGACTCCACACATGTGGTCCTCCTGATCAGAAGGTCATCAGGCAAATACTGTATAATAATGTCTTCTTTTAGAGACAAAGAGTCCCGCTTGACCTTGAACTCACTCTGTAGCCAAGAATGACTTTGATCTTTTAATTCCCCTGCCTCCATCTCCCAGGCTCAAGGAAAACAATCATGAACCACCATGGTCATATTAAGGAATGCTGAAGACCAAACCCAAGGTTTCATGTATGCCAGGGAAGCCAGAACTCTACCAACTTAGCTAGATCCACGGCCTCCATAATTTCTTTTTTGTTGTTGTTTTGTTATGGAAAAAGAGTCTCACTCTGTAGCCCAGGCTGGCTTTGAACTCCTGGTCTTCCTGCCTCTGCCTCCCAACTGTCAGGATAACAGATTTGTGCCACCACACCTGGCTGTTTGGTTAGGTCTCACTTTATAGCTCAGAATGGCCTTTAACTTCCGAAGTAGATGGGTTTGTAAGCTAACGTCACCAGGCCTGCCATGTATTTGGTTTGGGTTCTTTTTTTTTTTCTTTCATGCTATGCTTGAAATCTGGTGAGCATTTGAACTTGTAGCCTGTCTTAATTGGGAACCTAAATGTTCTTCGAAGATGTTTTTTGTTTTTCTTTTACTTTTCTTTAAAATCTTGGACTTATATTTAGACTTCCTGAATCCTCCCACTAAAAAAGAGGATTTCCATGACTTTGATGTTCCAAGAATATCTGAAGTTTTCCAACAGTTGGGTATTAATTTCAAAATTGAGTTGATTTAAATTTACACTTGATTGATTATATCACATTCAAAATGCATTCAGTGGATGGTTTTCTTTTTTGTTTGTCTTAGACGAGGTCTCCCTCTGTATCCCAGAATGATGCAGTTCTAATCCAGTGTGTGGCCTAAGATAAAGGTTCTTAACACCTGTGTACTTCTGTTCGTAGGTGAAGATAATATATCTCCCCCAAAGTATGGGGACTGTGACAGCTACTGTATGAAATGTACTTCATGGCTCCCACTGGGAATCCTGGCTTCAAATAATGACCCAAGTTCAGTGCCAGCTCACCCCACTTGACAGGACCAAGGTAATCCTCATTATAGAGGGAGAAGCAGTGTAGTAAAGGAGTGAAGTATGAAGATGTCACAATGAAATCCATTATTTGGTACACTACAAAAGTTGGTGAAAAGTTGAAGATGAGCTGGGGAAATAGCTCAGCCAGAAATGTACCTGCCTCACCAGCAGAAGGAACTAACTTCGAATCCCCAGCACCCACATAAAGCTAGGTATGAACATGGAGCATATACATGGAACCCCAGCATTTGGAGGATGGAACAGGTAGAGATCAGTCTTATTGACCAGTCATAAACTAATTAATTAACTAATTAATTAACATAATTAGTAAAGTGGAGAACAGCTGAGGAAGATAGTAACATCATCATCTGGCCTTTACACATAAGCATTAGGACATTTTATACACACACACACACACACACACACACACACACATAGACAAGATTTTTTAAAAGGAAAAAAATTAAAGTATTTTGCAAATGTTTAATAGTTTACACACATGACCACAAAGAAAATGGTGATATAGGCCTCTTTGCTTTGGGGTTTCCATTTGTAAGTCTTGGAACAGAAGACCCACAGCAGAACTTCCGAACAATGAAACATTTGATATTCATGGTGGCAACTAATTTAGGGAAACAAATGTAGCGCTAACTAAGCACATTAAAGTGTATGAGCCAGTGGTGGGGCACATGCCTTTAATCCCAGCATGCAGAAGGTAGGGCCAGCGGGATCTCAGTGAATTCCAGCCCAACCTGAGCCACAAAGTGAGTTATAGGACAGTCGGGGAGACATAGTGAGACCATGTCTCAAAACCAGTGAAAGTATAAATCTGTGCAGTTCTCACACTGTGGATTAGCATTGATGATGACACATCTAGAAAGTCCTCAGGCTGTGGCTGCTAGCTTCCAAATCTTCTCTGAATGTCTTGAAGCCAGAGGTATCAACACAGCAATACCCTGGAGAAAACAGAATAAAGTGACCACAACCAACAGCACAGTCCTGCACCTAAGGCTCAGAGGTCATTGTGGAAGAGAAGGGGAAATGGGATAGGACTGCCAGCTGCTCTGCATTACTATTTGACAACCCAGAATGAGGCACTCAACCTGTCAAATGAGGCAACTGGGAAAGAAACACAAATGGCACCCAGAGCTGCCATAGTGAACCAAGTAGAGGAGCAGATGGCGGCAGGCAATGGTGGTCAACTAGGTGGATGATCAAAGTGGCAGCATGAATCAGAAGGCAGGGGTGGAGAGCCCTGCCCCATATAGTTTCTGGGGAAGGTGAATGGGAATGGTTGGAAGCCCTTTGGACAGTTTGAGTATCAGCGTCTCTGCCACTGCACAGGTAGGTATACACTGACCTGATTATAAACTAGTTTTCCTCCATCTCTCACTTGACTGAAACTCTGGTTCCATTTTTTTACTTTATTTGCATACATATACATTCAGTCAACCAGGGTCCAGAGAGCTCTATAAATTTGGGTTAGGTTAAGTCTGCAGGGGTAAAGTCATTGAATGGTCAGAGAAGGAGGATTCCCCACCTGACATTCTGGCCGGAGCCTGACTCTTGGGCAGGTTCCTGGCTTCTGGCTGAGGGTTGAACTTCCAGAGACCTTACCAAGAAGGAACAGTGTGGTGAAGATTCACAGAGACAGACAAGTTCGAGGACTGCTGCCCTGATGCTTCTGTCTCAAGCACAGAGACAGCTCCGTATCCCACCACTCAGGCCAGTGGGACTCGACTGTGGCCACACGCAGCAGGACAGATTCCTGGCTCTGCCTCTAAGACTCCATCCTTTGGCTGAAGATGAGAATTCATTCCTGAGGCTGACTCCAGCCCTTGAGACTGAAAAGACTGGAGGGGGGGCAGCAGACCCTGACAGAGACCAGATCTTAGTTTCACTTCACTAGAATGGGACAGCATTGAGCAAGCAGGTCTCATGAAAACCATAACAAACAACCCCACAATCCCTTCTGCTGGATCAGCAGGCCCCCAAAGCCCTTCTGTTGGCTCAGCAGATGTCTCCCAGACTTCTGTAGGCTAAAGATAACTTTCTCTACCCTGCTACCAAGCAGCCCTCATACTAATCTTTCCTTCCCCAACCAACTCCAGGCTAATCTCTCCTCTCTGGAATTTCACTACCTCTGCTTAAAAGGAGCTCGTTCCCTTCTTTGGCGGTCACTCTTTTGCCATCCCAACGTTGGAATCAATAAAGTGCTCTTGTTATTGCATACATAGTTGTTGGCATTCTTTGGGGGTTTTTCTTGGACCCTCACAATTGGTGCAATGGTGTACAGTGGTGAGCATAGCTGCCTTCCAAGCAGTCGACCTGGGAAGCCCCCCCCCCCCAGACCACTCACCACGTTGAGCGTCTCATAACCTGGCCACCTGATAAATGCAGTGAGCGCTCTGTGTCTTGTCTTGGCCTGTCATCGTTTCTGATGGTCTGATTGCCACCGTGCTGTGTTTTTCAAATCTGTTTCTCTTTCTCTGATAAGCTCGAACTAACTGAATCTGGAGACTGAGGTTTGCCTAGCGGTTGTGCTGGAGGCACCTTGGACATGTAAGCCGGGAGATGTCTTGGACTTACTTGGTAGGGACAACTGGGTATCATTGGTTGAACTGGAACAGAGGATCCCTTTTGGTTGGATTAGGACAGAGGGTCCCTTTTGGTTAAATTGGGACAGAGGGTCCCTTTGATTGAATGGGGAACACAGGTCATGCCTGTTGCAAAATGAAACTGATATGCCATCAGTCCGTTCTGGCTCTTAGTTTCTTTTCCATGCACTGGACGGAGACATTTCTGTCAGTATTATTTTGGGGTCTTCCTGTCTATTATGTTACCTCGTTGCTTCTTTTAGGAATGGGTCATTCAAACTCAATTTCCTTCCTTGAGTTTGGACCATTCCAAGGACTTTCCAACCCAAGCCGCTGACTTGGGGCTCATAGTCTGGAGGGGCGGAGGTCTGATTGATAAGGACTGGTAGGACTTTGGGTGCCTGGCAGAAAACCTGCAATTGGTCATTGTGGTCACTGTGGGGGTCCTTACAGGGAAGCTGACAATTTTTTTTCACGATACTGACTGCCAGGCAGGCACTCTGTGCCTGCAAGCTGCAGTGGGAGCAACTGCTATGCTTTCCCTCGCTTCCTTCCTGAGCCAAATTCTTCACTGTGGATCAAGGCCCTTGCAGCCAGTTACTTCCCCTTAATCCTTTCCTGTTCATACACACACACACACACACACACACACACACACACACACACACACACCACCCCAACCCCCACAAATGTGTCGGTTTTGTTCATTCAGATCCAATGGGTTATAAATATTTGTCATCATTTAGAGGGGTTGGTTACAAATTACCATTGGTTAGGGCAAGAGAAAAGAACTACTGCTGGTCTCGGAAGTTTCTTGTTGGTGCAGTTTTTATGTGATTTGTTATGATATGTATGTTTCTGTTCTTGTTTAAAGTATTATATGTATATAATATTCTAGAGTACTAAATGCAACCACAAGAAGGACCTTGATAAAAGTTTTCGTGTTGTCTGAAAAAAGGCAGAAACTAACAAAGAGAAGAGACATAAAGAGAAGGCTGTTTGAAGTAAGAATGTCTGGCTGAAGCAGAGGAGCGAAGCTAGGAACTAAGGAGGATAGTGAGTTGTAGAAGGCCAGAGGAGGTAAGAGATTTGATCAGGCTATGTTAATACTGGGTGGTTTCCTTCATTAAAAAAGAAAAAAACAAAGCTGATTCACTACAAAATGTTTGTGTTGGGAATGTGGTCATACTCTTTAAAGAAGAGAGGGGACAGATCACTGCCTACTGCACCCCTGTACCCTGTCTTTCCTTCTCTAGGCAACTTGGAGGAAGAGTTTTTTCTATCACACCACCTTACAGCCAGGCATCCCTGGAGGACAGAAGGGGAGGGGCAGATGAGCCCCCTCCCCACATGTTTCTAACTGCTCCAGGTTCTCTTCATCACTGAGGAGAGAGACCGGATTATAACAGAGGCTTGGAAATTGGTTCCAGGCCCAGATGGAAGAGCTACCAGCAATGCTGACCTCATAAATGTTGGTTTTTCTGTGATATGATCCAATTGGGGATTTCAACATGGAAAAAGGTAGGGAGGGAGAGGCTGAATGTGTTCTGCCAGATTCCAATGGTGGTCTCCAGGCTGCTGTGAAGACCTGTGGCTCACAAATTTGTTCAAAGTTGGAAAGGTACACCAGGGGCCTGAAGAAACACTGAGAGTGTTCCTAGAGAGGCTGATAGAAGCTTATAAGAACTGAACACCTTTGGATCCAGAAGCACTAGAGAATCAGTCTGAGTCAGCCTGGCTTTTGAGAACCAGTCAGCACCAGATATCTGCCATAAACTTCAGAGACTAGAGAGTTTTGAAAGTAAGAGGTTGGCTAAATTCATTGCAGTTGCTGAGAAAGTATTCAATAAAGACAGACACAGGGGCCCACCAAGATCTTTCTAGCTGCATCAAGCAGCCCAGAGGTTGAGAAAAAGGTAAGGGCCTTGGGAGACTCACTGCATAAAGGGAAGGGTTAGAAGCAGGGACTGCACAATAGACCCAGTCTGCAGAAAGACCAATGTGCCTACTGTAGGAAGTTGGGTCACTGGAAGAATAAATGTCCGGAATGACAGGGCTCAAAAGTGAAGGTACTGGAACTGGGAAAGTTGAGTGATTGAAGGGGACAAGGCTTGGAGCCCCTCCCCCAATAACCCTAAGGAGGACGGAAAACCCAAAGATTTTCTCGTGGATACCAGAGCACAACACTCCATTCTAAAACAACCCCTAAGCAAAATGCCACCAAAGCAATCCTGGGTGCAAGGGCTATAGGGATGAACAAGTACTTATGAACTACTCGAAGATTTAAAGGACATAGGAAAGGGGTGAGCAACCCATTCTTTTATGGTCATCCCTGAGTGCCCATATCCACTATTGGGAAGAGACAATAGAGACCTGCTCCAAAATTGGCTCCAAGAAATTCCCCAAGCCTGGGAAGAAGCTGGGATACCTGGACAGGCAGCCACATTCCCCCCACTAATACAACTGAAAGCTGGGACAATGCCAATGCATGTCAAACAATACTCAATGCCCAAAACGGCCAAGCAGGGAATCACCCATTTTAGGTGCCTCAGAGATCTGGGTATTTTGGTCCCTTTCCAGTTGCCTGGAACACACTCCCATTGTCAGTTTAAAAGCTCAATTCCAGTGACTGCAGATCAGTGCAAGACCTTCATGATATAAATCAAAGGGTTGAGGACATTCCTCCAACAGTTCCTAACCCATATACTCTTTTAAGTGTCTTGCCTCCAGAACAGGTCATCTACACTGTGTTGGACCTTAAGGATACCTTCTTCAGCCTGCCACTGGCTCCAGCCAGTCAGCCTATGTTTGCTTTCGAATGGATGGATCCAGACGACAGATTCAATTGACAACTGACCTAGGCACAGCTACTCCAAGGGTTCAAGAACTCTCCTACCATCTTTGATGAAGTGCTCCATGAGGAGTTGGGTAAGTACCAACAAGTCCACTCCAACATCAGCTTATTACAGTAAGTGGATGACCTCCTAATAGCAGCTGAAACTCTGGAAGCCTGCAAAGCTGCCATGGAAGGGTTACTTAAAATTCTGGGAAACTTGGGGTATTGTGTATCAGCAAAGAAGGCACAGCTCTGCCAGACTCTACAGATTTAGTGTAAATGTCCATTAAAATTATAGCAACATTCCTCACAGAACTCACCTACAGATTTAATGTAAATGTTTATTAAAATTATAGCAAATTTTTTTACAGAACTCAAAAGAACTATCCTCAACTTTATGAGGAAAAGATAAAAACTCAGGATAGCCTAAACAATTTTAAAATCCTATACAACTAAGGAACCCCTGAATGTATTACAATCTTTGATTTTAAACTGTTTTACAGAACCACAGTACTGAAATTAATCTACCTTGGATATAAATTTATATGCCTACAAACTAAAGATTTTTGACCAAGAAGCAAAATTGTGAAATGGGAAAAGAAGCATATCTAACCTCCTTTACTGCCCTGAGGCTGTAGCTTCCTGAGGCTAGTTCTCTTTTTTGCAAACCTACCTGGAAGCTTTTGCTCCGCATGGCTCTCTTGGTCTGTCAGTCAAGGCAGGCTTAGCTGTGTGGATTTTACCCTTACTTCTCATGTCTTGAAGGATTCCTTGAGTAAACAGATCCTGTTTACAAAATGCTTGCACCATGGTAATTTTTTTTTTTTTTACCCTGCGTTACTGTTCAATCCCCTCAAATCTGTCTCATGGTTGGGTTTCCCTGGATGATTCTTACTTTTCCTATTGACCACAGTGATCCAAGTGAGAGTGTACAGGCCTGTCCTCCATGTGCAGTGATGTTCCTCAAGCCTCCATGGTAGCCTCAGGCCCCACGTTGGGTGCCATATATCCCAACCAGTGGGATACAAATGGGGGTCCCTGATAAACCTAGAGGAGGAAAAGGAATGAAGGGTACAAGAGACATGAGAAAACACAGCAAGACAGTATTTCTGATCAAATCATCAATTTTATTATTCCTCAGAAGCTGTTACATAGCAAATGGGAAAGGAGGAGGGGAGAAGTATCAGGAAAGTCTGTTCTGCTGGAATTCAGGCCTGGAGACATCCCTGCTGATAAGGAAATACTGAGGGTCTGTGATTGTTGACTAACAAAGGAAATATTAATTGTTTCTGAAGTCTAGTGCCTGTAGGTCTCACTAGGAGATAAGATACCAGGTAGATTTCCTAGGTCCTGCAGAGGGGATAGAGGTAACTATTTTACTTAACTTGTGAGTTTAAGATAGCTATAAACAAAATGCAGATCTCAAAATACAGATCTTTGCTTCCAGCAGTCATACACTGCCCTGGGCACCAAAAAGGAAAGGACCCAATTTTGAGAGGAAACAGTCAGGTAGACAAGGCAGCAAAGGAGGCTGTTCTCCAGACAGCACTCATCTTACTGGTCACACCATCGAAGATGGTGAAACCCACATTGCCAGAATTTCAGCTCGGACTGACCAAGAGCTTCAAAGAATCCACTCGTGCACAAACAAACACTTACAAGGAGGAAGAATGACTCAGGATCCCTGATGATAGATTATCCTCCCATCAGACTTTGTCACTCAACTAGTCCAACAAATACACCAAAGTATTCATTTGGGAGAAAGGAAAATACAGGACCTCTCGAGAAGAGCAAATCTTAAGTTTCTTGACCTTAAGGCCTAAACAGCAAAAGCTGTAGGCTGTTGTCCCATTTGTCATCTTGTCAATGAAAAAAGTGTAGCCACAAGAACTGGACACGGGGAGAGAGGAGCTTGGCCCAGTGCCAATTGGGAGATTGAATTCACATAGGTAAAGTCAGGCCTGAATGGCTATAAATATTTGCTAGTTTTTATTGACACCTTTTTAGGATGGACTGAAGCTTTCCCAACTAAGCACTCAATGGCTGCTATGGTGGTCAAGAAGCTACTGTAAGAGATTATCCTGAGGTATGGCCTTCTTGTGCTCTAGGGCTCTTGGAACCTGCATTAATCTCTCAGGTAACACAAAGGCTATGGGGACCAACTGAAAACTTCATTGTACTTATCATTCCCCAAATTCAGACCAAGTATAAGGGATAAATCAGACCCTAAAGGAGACCCTAACCAAATTAACCCTTGAGACTAATGATGACAGGGTGTCTGTCCTCCCCTTTGCTCTCTACAGAGTTCACAATTCTCCTTATACCTTAGGCCTGACCCCATTTGAGATCATGTATATCAGGCCACCACCCATTCTGCCTAATCTTAGGGCAGAATTACTGGCTGAATTTGATGATAAAAGATTTGTTTCATCCCTACAAGTTCTGTCTCAGGTGCAGAAACAACTCTGGCCTTAGCTGCATAAAGTCTGTGAGAAGACACCATCTCTGGTACCCCAGGAGACCTGGTGATCATCACAGATCTCTATGGTCCTACTGGTGGTTCTGAAACAGCAGAACAAGCCTGTAGATCTGGGGGAAGCAATGCCAGGATTTGAGATGGTACATTACTCAGCAGGTAATAAAAAGGCTGGAAACAGAAGACCAGAGCTCTGACAGAGAACAGGCCTTAGTTTCACTTCAATAGAATGGGACAGAGCTCAGCAAACAGGACTCATGAAAACCACAACTTATGGGTGACCATAAACAAGCACCCCCACAAGCCCTTCTGCTGAATCAGCAGGCCTCAAACGCCCTTCTGCTAGTTCAGCAGGTGCCCCTGAAAGAGCCCTGATATTGGAAGACTCTCACTCAAGCCTAGAGATAACGCGACCCCTCCCCCCAAGTAACTCACAAGAGACCGTCCTTGCTGCAATCACACGAGGTTTAATGACAAGACGACAAGATGGGAACCAGTGCACTGGGGCCGAGACTCATAACCCTCATAACCCACGCAGGGGAAGAGTTTGACCCTGAGTGACCGGGAGAAGTAGTTTTTATAGGAAGAAACCATGCAGCCCAGTAATCCGAAAGGGGGCCAGGGAGGGTATCACAGAAAATTCCGAAAATTCCAGTGATGATTACAAGGGGGCAACTCCCTGCCTCTCAAGATCATTCTCAAGGTCATAACCAGCTAGTTCCTATTCTAAAAATACCAATGATAATTACTAGGGGGAATCTCCCTGTTTCTCAAGATTACTCTCAAGATTACAATCCACCTTTATCTTCAGTTAGTTCCTAAAACCCTGAAACTGGCTAATCCTAGATTTCTGATTCTTCTCTTCCTGCTAGATTTTTTGCTCTATTTTCCTGCTAGGGGAATCTGGATTTATCCAGGTCTTTCACCCCCAGATTTCTGCAGGGTAAAGATAGCTTTCCCTACCCTGCTGCTGGAAGGTCCCTAGCCACTAGAACCCTCCATCAATCAATCCCCGTAGTAATCTTTCTTCCACCAATCAACTCCAGGTTAATATCTCCTCTTTGGAATTTCCCTAATTTTACTTAAAAGGAGGTTGTGACTTTCTTTGGGGGTCACTCTTTTGCAACCTTAACATTGGAATCAATAAAGCACTCTTATTATTGCATTTATGGTTGTTGGTCTGCTTTAGGGGCTTGTCTCAGACAATAACAGAGACCTTCCCAGAGAGAGAAGACCAGGAGTACAGAGATATGATGCTCACAGTGTCTCATGGTGGGTGTCCTTCTGCCACCATGGGGTTTCAATGTTTACTTTCTTGTTTAAATGGTTGTTCTCATGAGGTAAAAATGTTCCCTTGTCGTTTAGTCATTGTCTGCTCATTCCATCCTTAGGAAGAGAATTGACCAGCTCACAGCATACAAAAAACATCCACACATTTTAAACAAAGAGTTTGGAAGGCAGAGGTTTATCAATGCATATAAGTTGGTCGCCTGCTCTAAGCAATTCTATCATCAGCAAACTCGGTGCCATTGGATGATGCAGGGAAGTTGGTGAAAACATGAGCAATGCTGGACTTTGTTTCTGAGATGAACAAAGTCTCATTTATACCATGCTGGTCGTGAATTTGCTTTGTAGCCAAAAACGATCTTGAACCAATCTTCAACTGATCCTCCTGCCTCCACCTGCTGGAATGGGCACCAGTACCAAGTTGATGATGAGCTTGCGATTGAACCTGGGGCTTCATACATGCTGAGTAAGCACTCTACCAAGGGAGATACAGTTCTTTCCTTAAACCTCTTTTTATAAAAAAATCAGTAAGTTGA